GGACTTGAGGATCTGCTCAGGCCCCTTCCAACTCTACAAACTATGAAACTGACAGCATCTCAGTCTACAATAGTGATAAATCAAAATGGAGGGTATTAACATAGACTTAAAAGTTTGGACATTCAAATTTGTAAAGTACTAGAATTAAAATTCATTCACAATCAAACCCAATATATTGGTTTTATTTTCTCTTGGTCATTATTTTTCAGTTCTGAATGAGAAGTTACCTCTTCTTTCAGTGCATGTTTCTTTTGTTCCAAACAGATTTCTTTCGCACGCATCAGCTGCAATGTCTCCTTAGAAACTGCATATTGCAGCTTTTCCATACGTTCCACTGCTGCTGCCCATGCTGCCTTACCAAACTTTTTCTGATCTGCTCGCATTCGATCATATACAGCTGTAAGAAAGATGACAAAAAATATTTTACAATTGTATTTTACATTACTGGTATATGCAATTATAAAGCTAAACATGTTTTAAATTGTACCACCACCACATACACAATCTCCCTTGTTATAACAAAGTAATTATTTGACATGAAATCACATTTTATGTATGTTATTGTTATCAATATTGCTAAACATATGTTTAATTCTAAAAGTCAGATCTGAGCTCCTGGCAACTGCAGAAGCAGTCTGAAAGTCAGCTGAATTTAAGAACCCTAATTTGTTTTTCATTTTAGACCTAAATTGCATTAATAGTTCATCCTCCTCGACTGAGATTCCTCCTCCGCTGTGCAAAGGTGCACCTGTACTGACCAAAATTCCTAGTGTTCACAACTATACTGGCAAAACTGAACCTTTACATTATATAAGTAGAGCTGACTCCACCCTAAGAATATTAGTGGTAGAAGGTAGACAGATATTCCTTCAACAAAAAAAAGCTCCTATTGCAGTCATAACCTCAGTGTGAGCTGCCCCATTCCTCTCTATGGAGCATTAATTTTAACACACAGTTTCCAGGTGGGGCCGCTGCTGCAGCTTCCAGGGGACCTGCTCAGCTTCCCTGGCATCCAGGGGCTCCTCCTCCTCCCTCTGCCATGGCGCTTGCTCTTGGCAGCAGGTAGGGAAGTGGTGGGGATGAGGGAAGAGGGAGCTGCAGCTGGGTGTGAGCAAGAAGCCCATGCCCAGGGGGCATGGCAGCAGAGCTCTGGTGGGCAGGGTATAGGTGTGAGGGAGGGTGGGGGGTATGGGGACCTCTCACCCCCCCCCGCCCAATGACACACAGCCCCCGCCGCCGCCAGCAGCAGGCGGTAGGTGATGACCAGGGTGCTTGTGGTCTGTGCAGGCACTGCTGCCCAGCTGTGCATGGTTCTAGCCAGCACTGCACATGGTGGCAAGGAGTGCAGCCATCCCAGCCCACCTCTATCGTGTGGTGCTCCCCATAGCACAAGTGCAGCTCCCAGCACTCAAGCCACTGGGGGAAGACCCGCACGATAGAGCCTGCTGCCTATCCCCGCTCCCTTCCCCCGCCCCCACTGTGCAGGTACCAGGACTCCACCAGGAAGCAGGAGACGGGGCTCCCCTGCACTTCCAGTTGAGTCCTGGGACCTGCATGTGGTGTCAGGGAGTGGGGAAGGCAGTCACCTCTATTGTATGGGGCTTCTTCTGGTGGCACACAAGTGCCAGGAGCAGCATGTTCACCACAGGGAGCCCCACACAATAGAGGCAGGCCAGTCTGGCTGAGCTCCTTGCCACCACATGTAGCACTGGCTGGATGTACATACCACCAGGCGGCAGCACCTGTGCAGGCCACAAGTGCCCCAAGCATCTGCTGGTGCTGCCACCAGCAGCAGGGCCTGTGCGCCATGGAGGGAAGTGCGTCCCCTCACACCTCACACCCTGCCTCCACAACCCCCCCACATATACATCCTCAACATACTCTATGCCCCACCAAATGCACAGCCACACCCCCTCACAAACCCCACACAGGAGTGAGACTTGATTTTTGAGCTATTATGCAATCACCTCTATATACACTACGCAAACACAAATCATGACAGAAATATCTTTTATAATAAAATTAAAATGTGTTATACTAGGTGTTTGACTTTCAGTCTACGATTTGGTTTTTTCCTGGTTTCAAGATGGCAACCCCTACCTCCCCAAAAAAGTACTTCTGGGGCAAGGGGAGGGACATCCTTTACCAAAGGTGAGGGGTTAGGGGTGGGACTTCCAGTCCCAAGATGGTGACTGGGGGGCAGGGCACACGTCAAGGGGTGGGGCTACCCTTACGGCCCTCAACAGCTCATCAAAACTCATTAAGCAGCCCTCCAGCCAAAATAATTGCCCACCCCTGATCTAAGCCTTCATTTAAATACTACTACCTGTGCAACTACAACAATTTAGGAACAGATCCTCACCTTTGGTAAATCAGGAGAACTATACTGCTGTACATTCTTCATTTTTCAAACATTAACTGCCTACAACAGTAGCCTGAAATAATGTTTCACTACAGACTTCTGTTGGCATAGCTACAAAGTTCAGATGTGGGATCCCAAAAGGCACAGCTGTACTGGCCAAGATTCCTGGCAGTCACATAATTATACTGGCAAAACTGCACCTTTACATTATATAAGTAGAGCTGACTCCACCCCAGGAGTACTACCAGTGGTAAAAGTAGACAGATATTCCTTCAGCAATACAACCTCAGTGTGAGCTGCCTCACTCGTATCTAAGAAGTATTAACTTTAAACCCTTATAGTATGGTGTCACAGGGGCACTCGGGTGCCCCGTTCTTAAGTAGGAATTAGGGCATCTGCTAATGGCCAGGGCAGCTCAGGTGCTAGTTGCAGGGGCAACCGGAGCAGGTCACATGGCCAGAAAGGGGCAGGGCTGGGCCTGTATAAACAGCCCAGGGCAGAGCCTAGCCGGTAGTTACCTTCTGGCTGCCGGAGGAGCAAGAGCTCTGCAGCGGAGTCGAGCTGGGTGGAGCAGACTGAGAGACCGACCAGCTACATCATGGTACAGGGTAGAGAGAGCCCTGACTGGGAGGTGGGGCAGGAGAAGCCTGTGGGACTGGACTGTGCGTTATAGCCGGTAGGCTTATTGTTCTGTTACAGCCGGCTGGCTTATGGTTTTGTTTAGTTTGTTATGTCTATAACCGGGGGACTGGGTGAGGCTGTAGGGGTGTGAGGAGGCCTTGCGGGAGCTCCCCAGTAGTCTGGGGGTTCCTGGGTGCCCTGTTTGGGCGCAGAGCAGTGCCTGGGAGGCACGGCTGTTTGGCACTGGTGTGGGGGTTGAGACCCCAGCCTGAGGGTGGTATTCTGCCCAGCTGGGCAAAGGACCCCAAGAAGGGTCAGGGGGCCAGGCATGGCTGCGTGCCACCTGAGCCCCAAGCGCGGTTTAGCGTGGGACAGAGCCCAGAGAGGGTGATAGCGTGGAAAGCGCAGGGCAGAGCCCCAGAGGGGGTGAGAGCATTGCAGTGAGCCCTGAGCGTGGAAAGTGTGTGTATAGGCCCCAGCGAGGGCAAAGACCGTGGCAAGCGCGAGAGGCCCGAGTGCAGGTGAGAAGTAGCCCGAGTCGGGTGAAAGACCCCGAGAAGGGTCAAAGGACCAGGCACGGCTACTGGCCATCTGAGCCCTGGCGCGAGGAGCACGGATTGGGACAGGCCCCAGCAAGGGTGAGCGCGAGAAGCGGGATTAGCAGCCTGGAGAAGGGCGAGCTTATTGAGAAGCCCAGAAGGGCGAGCATACTGAGGAGGCTCCTGAAGGAGTCAGCCTATGGTGCCGGCCTAAGAGGGCTAGTGAACTCAGGGGTACCAGAGGAAGGGCGTGGGTTGCATGACAAGCCCAGGGTACCCGGTAAGGCACAACTGACCAGACAACGTCTGGAACAGCTGCGAGGCTTGGGGCGTGCTAAAGAGGAGGTAGGAGGCACGCATAGCCCATAAGGCTGGGGTGCAACAGGTCACCCATAGAGAGTGGGAACCCAGACAATCGTAACACCCAGTGCTAGGAGATCAAAGGCAGTCTCCCATATTAAATATATACGACCAAGACGTGGCGGGCGAGAATCAGAGGGTGCTGGATCTCCTAACTTGGCACAGCAGGGGGTGCTAGCAGGATCATGGCCACTCCTAGGCCCCACTCCGTGACATATGGATTTAGATCTCAAACTTAATAACTTTATTGCTGAGCACTTTAGCACAAAATTTCCAATTATTTCCATGTAGGGACCTACCCCATGTGACTCCACTTCCACACAGCAACATGAAGAGCAGAGTGATTCTAACTGCTTAATACCCATGTACAGCCTCCAGGTATAGAACAGCAATAGCTATCTGTAATCCTAATGCACATCTCACTTTCCCAGAAGCCAAAATCCCAAATGACATCTACCAAAACCCTGTTTTCCTAAACAATTTCTATAACATATTTATCTATTTGATACAAATCAACAGCACAACTAAAATTATGAGTCAAAGGGCAGTAAAATAGTATACTTGATATCAAGTGGAATTCATCTTTCAAATAATGAATATTTTACTGACTGCACATTTATTGTAATGAAATCACCAAGTTTTAAAAATTTTAAGCTGCTAGAGAAGGACAGAGAATTAAGTTCAAGTTAACCAAGCAGAGTGCAAGAAACTCTGAAATATCCACACGAATCAGAATTTCTTCAGGAAACCACGAGAATAGCAGAAATCCTTTCCCTGATTAACAAAGACTTATTCCTGAGCCCCAGCCAGGTCTTATGCAAAGACAGAGGAGGCTTTCACCAATTGAAATAAGACAAAAAAAAAAAAAAAAAA